AAAAAAAAAAAAACGCAAGAACTGAATGAGGCTGAAGAAATAAGTAAAAGTGTACTCACAAAATGTTACAGTTTGCAATTTTTAACTTTTACATGAATGTTGTGATGAGCTAGGAATGGCCAGAAAGCCGAGTGGAAGCTAACATCAGCTTTTACCCAGCCAAGCCGTTGTAAGCCATCGATCATCTCCTCTGTATTAATAATCAACAAACTGTTTATTTCCTAAGCCGATATAATATAATATAATATACTCTTGTTAAGACAGCATGTAAATGATTAAACCTTCCATAATCTCGTGATATTCTGTGGTGTTCTTCGTGTTGGGTTCGTTTTGTGCAGCCTCTTTTGCTTTGGCTGCTTCTGGAGAAAAATCGGGACTCTCTGTCAAGACTGGCGGGCAGTACTCGACATTGACAATATGTTCGTAACCATCCAATGATTGACTAGGTGGCTAAAGATATCGAAATCAACGAGTTTAGCTGAAGTATAAATAACCCAAAACTTTTCTAACCTCAACTATATTGGACAATACTCGAAAACACGAGGAGAATAAATGTAAATAACATTTAATGATATCAGCAAAGTCCGTCAAGCCGCCAAAAGATGAAACGAAAACGAAACCTCAAGGGTGGTGGTTCTTGAAATATTTTACACTCAAGTCATTTTCATTTTTACTCCAAATATTATTACAGCCAGTTAATACGTCCGAGAATACTTTTACTTTACCTTAGCAAGTTCTCTTTCCCTTCTTATCGAGGAAGTTCGCCAACCAACCATATCTGGATTACGTTAAGAATCTAAATAACCAAATAAATAAAACCAAAAATCACAATTACAAATTCGATAAAATATAATCAGGATACGGTCATACGAGACATTAGCGTAAAGAAACCGATGTTTGAAAGCGCCGAGTGCAGATCTGCAATTCACAGCCGTTGAAACATATCACCAGAAAAAAAAAAAAAAAAAAATGGTGATGAAAGAGCATACCATATATAACTATACATATAAGACTAATAATGTACTTGCATGAATTTTCCATCTTCACAATCGGAGGCCATTCTTAGTAACAGAGGTGGTTTTTCGGGATCTCCATCTGTAAGGAAGAGTTGACGACCCGTTCGGCCAGCAAAAATCGTGGCAACTGGGACAGCAAGTTTCTCCAAGAACGTCATTCCCAAAAGAAATGGAAGCTGAATCATTTAAGAGGATAAAATTACAAAAACACCCTCCCGTATGGCTATATATGACTAGTTACTTGCATTTGAACTACATGGAGAGATAAATGAAGCCCTATTATTTTAAATTCACGAATCAAAGATATATGTAAAACGAGTCACACACAAAAAAAAAAAAATATATATATATATATAGATATATATGTACCTGCTTATTTCCTCTCACTCCGAGATGAGGCGTAGCAAGCGTGATAAAATTGATTGCTTCCAGCCCAGCAATCAAACCATTAACCGAAGAGCACGATTTTTCCGAATTTGTTGAGGTCGAGGTAGTTATATAGTAAGGCTGATCAATATTTGGTGTGTACAGAACACCCACTGCATATCTTGAAATTAATCCACCAAGAGAATGTGCCAAAAAGGATATCTTCTTCAAGCTCTCCGTCTTCTTCACAACTTCTGTGACCTGGTGGTAATAATAGCAAAATAAAATGATCTAAAACCTTTATCTAATAAATTTCTGATTTATTATTTTCCCTTCGGGGTGGGGGGGAGGATTACTATAGTTTTTTTTCCTCCAAGCTGAGAATTGCTTTTTGTGTAGTATTTGCAAACACTTCATTAATAATAACAAATGCAAACTTACTTCATCAGCCAGGCGTTTACCAGCACCATCAATGCCGGATAATGTCTTGGTGTATGTATTACATGAACTCGCTGCACAAAATAAGCTAATATAAATCTAAATAAACATCTGGCAGTTATTATTTTGGGAGAAAAAAAAAAAAAAAGAAAAAAAAAAAAGAAAAAACCTCAACTGAAGAGAAAGCCTATAACTTTAGCATTAGAATATAAGTTTTCAAATCCAAAAGGAATCAGTAATACTGGCCATCACAAAACAGGACACAAGTCATTGTTTTCCACCTTTAAGCTCTTCTTTTCTGCTACCGATAAGACTAAATGGCAAACGAACTGGTTCAATCACCAATGAACTGATCAATTATATTAAGCAATTTAAAACAAGATTTTGACACGTCATAACAAATTCAGAGTAAGCTGATGATGATTCCTTCATGTCAATTTTACGCAATATGATATCATACAAGTCAGCAAAGAAGCTAAAGCATGAGACAGCAAACACTTACCATATATCAAGAAGCTTCTTCCTAACTGCCTCTTCAACTCTGCTTCAAAATACGTCCAGTCGCTCGGGCTACAAACAATACACGGAAAAACTTTAGAAAGTTCAATCACAGTTACAGCAGATTAAAGAAAAAAAGTACATCATTACAAGAACTTTACAAAATAACGAACTCAGAAGTTGAAGACCACACAAATCCATTGATATAAAGAGGTCTCTTATTTTATCTAGTGATAATTTCCCATTTCCCTTCACATTTAGTTCATGTACAACGGATATACATACCTCCCCATGATGCCATGAACAAGAACAAGTAGATGATCGGGCTTAAGTTCGTCTTTAGCCATGGCCCTCGGTGATGAAAAGTTCCCTTCAGTTATGGTCGTTGCTCGAGCTCCGAAGCTCTGTTGCTTCCAGATACTTCTTATTCCTGCAGGGTTTAAACTTTAAAGACACCCCCCAACTAAAATCCAGCATATCCTTCACAAACTGAAAAAAATATAATGCAATTTCAAGACATAAAAATCTAGAAATTCACTCAGCTCATGGCACAACATACAACAAAGTTCTGATAAAACTAATAATTATTCACAAACCAAACAAATTTCAAATCTAAATCTTGGCCATAATTCTTGTACAAAACATGACACAGAGAAAAAACCGTGAAAGCCCAGCTGAAAAGAAACTATTTTAATCCCTTTTACCAAACACGGGAAAACGAAAATCATGGGGGAGCGAGTGATTATTACCGGAGAATGTAATGAAATCCCAATTACGCCCTGGGCGGTGACCATACGAGGAATTAGGGTGAGACGAATAGGGGGAAGGCGAGCAAGGGTTCGAAGGCGACGGCGTCGTATTGCTGTGATTCCGATGGCGGGGGTTTCGAAGAGAACAGGAATAGTACAAGGTCGATGAGAACAATACCATTTGTATGAAAGGGAGCTCAAGCTCAACACATTTATGGCGTCCGATTCTAGAGAGATTTCTGTGATTTCCCTACGCCGTTAACTACGAAATGCCTACGTCAGCATTGCCAATCCCTCGGAAGCAAATCGACGGTCGCACAGGCGACGGCCTGTGCGAATCAGACGCGTCACGCGCCACGCGCCGCCCGCTCTCAGCCGCAACCTTCGGACCAGTGAGAGAGAAGTTGTAGATACGGCTATAGTCAGCTTGATAAAAGACTATTTATTAGTTATAAATAAACATAATTATATAGTTCTTTCTATTTTTTTTAAATGTTATTTTGACGTTATCAACTATTAACTAAATAAATATTGTTTCAAATTTTTTTTTACATGTATTTCCATTATTATCCTCATTTAACTAATAAATACATCACGTCTTTTTATATTCACTATTCATCTTTTCTCACAACACTCATCTTTATCTTCATTAAATAAAGTTATTATTGACAAAAAGATATTCTTAATTAATATGCAACTTTTCAAAACGACGTATATTAAAAACAGGAGGTAGTAGTACATTTTAAACAAGTTTCAATAAAATTAAAATTAATCAAGTTAAATTGGAGTCATTTGATTAATTCTCGGAATTTTCTTGTATTTTGCCTTATAAATTAAATTAAGACCTTGAATTTTGTTTGGTTGAAACTTATATTTAATTTTTTTTGTCACAACATGTTTGATATTTTCCCCCAACAATTTGCAACCACTCAACTATTCTTTTAATATTTACATATATGACTCTTGGGCTTTTCTACAGTCAGGTACCCTTGTACTTTGGCTTGTACTTACCTAACAAC